AACACACTGATACATTTATCTTCTGGCAGCGAATGTCACAGTTGGAATTATTGGTTGGAAAATAGCGCGATCGGACCTTCAGTGCTTGGAAGCCTCGTGTCGAAATGTAAAGGGCAGTTTTGTTTATATATTACTAAGAAAGTGCACATTTGGTCTTTCTGTTTTCTCGGTCTTACAACAACTCACCCATTATTCCCATTACTTTTGTATCGTCTTCATACTGAAATGGCTAAGCGTCTGATGGACACAGAACAAGACATTTGCAGAATTTTGTCGGGTTCCTTGTCACTGTTTCAAAACAATTACCAGTTGCTAACTTAACTGAAAAGCCCACACAAAAGAAAACTGAACTGTATCAACAGCTTTGGCCGCCAAATAACCCCGACAATACTGTATGAGTTACCCATAATAACCGTGTAGATAAGTAGCGTTTCAGATGGGTTGCAAGTTTAGTAACTAAAGAAGAGGCCCAATTTAGAATACTGCTGAATGTTTTCGAGCCCTCTCTAAGGTCATGCGCAACCTTACCAACAATAGTAGAATTGCGGTAATATTTGATAAAGGTGCGACGATTTAACTAGCAAATTACTTTGGCGGTTGCGCAGTCGTGATCTAGTTTCGGAACTCACGACTTATACGACCCTATCCGCGTTGTGGTGGGCTGGCATTGCAGAGGCATATATCTCTCCGATATCGTCTCATTTCGTATGTTAGCAGTTTGTATATGGAATTAATTGCTCACCTGATACACGTTATTTATCTGGAATAATTTATATTGAACTGCCGTGGGTGATAAAGGTGCCATGAAACGCTACCTATGGATTCTGCTATTTGATATGCTGAATTACGATGAATCCATTTTATTACGCAAAACTCCGTGTTGATTGCAACAACAGCGAGATTTGAATTGGTATATTCGAAATTAAGTCAGCTCGCAACAATAAAATGAGCGGCACTAACTTTTAACTAATTATTACCGTTTCGCAGCTGTTGCTAACGCTTTGATTCAACCGGAAAATGAATTCTGAAAAAGTACCGCCTAGCTTAATTGGGCAGTTACCTCTGTGTGAGATATTTTGCGGGATCGTTAGGAAGCATTTGAATTGTATCCCTGAATGCAAATACTATGAAACACATTAACTTATACAAACGGGAATTGGAGTTTTCAAACAGTTTATTAAAAGTATTCGAAGCCAACCTACTGGATTACGAGATATTATCATGGGCAAGATTGAGGCACACAGAGTTACTGGCTGTCAGCTTGTGCATATTGCTGACAACACAAGTTAAGCTGATTATTATTCAGTAATAAGGGGATCGTTAAGTTTTTGACAAGGGCTGTCACAGGTTGACTCAGCCGAACAGACATTACACATCCAGGCAAGCACTAGACGGCCGTTAAGTCCTGTTATTACATGTCTGTAAAGTGTAACAGCCGAATCCTGCCGATTTTGAAATCTTACATGCCAGCAACTTATACGACTGCACCATGAGCTATGACATCGGACCGCGGTGACTGTTATCAAACTGTGACATAGCGCGGCTCATCCTCCACTCACATGCATGCTATGAGCGTGTAGAGGACATAAGTGGTGCCCAGAAAAATGATCTCCTTTGCGTGTCGCCACCAACTGATGGGGCAGGTGAGCTGTTAAGGCGGATACAACTTATAATAAGTATTAGGAGTACGCTGAGCATTCTGAAAACGTTCGTCTCATGATAATCTCATGTAATTATTAGGCATTACTCATAGATAAAGCTGGTGTTATACGTATTGCGGATCGTATGTGGACATTGGATAAATTAACAGGAATGCGGTACAAAAGAGTGAAACGCAGTACCACTTTGGCTAGAACATGGCTTATTTCACCTCTCGATAGTAGTCGATGTATCATGGTGCAACATCGACTGGCTTCTGTTAGTGTTTATATATAAATGCATCAATTACCGGTCCGCTGGCTAACGTCTTTTTGTTTAGTTCAGTCTTATCCACTGAAAACCCCATGCATAATTTAGCAACTTGCATAAAGGTCTGTTAATGTCACCAGGTGTGGATTTATAAACCATTATCGTATCGCTACTCTATGCAAAGATTCCTAGTTTGAGGTAATCCAAAACGTCCAGCTGAGGACCGTTGAATTATCTGCTCCCGACCATCTTCAAAAGTAGGAATCTAAGTGCCAGGTTGTGAAGCATTTTCAAAGTGCTCGATGTTTCTACTATCTTGAGACAAATGTACCCTATATTATGCATTCGTCGGTTCAAAGGCTAATCAAGCTCACTACCTACGATAGCAGCCCAGTATAAATATATATATAGATGATGATTGGCCGGTTCAGGTAATTAGCTGAGTAGAAGGGGATATCTTCATCAAATATGGAATCGGATCAGTCTAAAACTGCTGGAAAATTGTCAGCTCGACTCAATGGTACACACTGTAGTTGCCAAGCTTATGTACATTCAGACTATGTGTTGCTGCTGGTAAAGCCTGTGTTTTTCAAACACTCATAGGATGTGTGGAGTTCATATATTTTTTCTACCGCCAGTGATTTATACAAACATACGGGCAAAACATACTTTTCATAATTATCTTAAGAAACGTTCCGGAAAAGGTGTTATAGTAGAGGCATTTTAAAGTACTCCTCACTTGAATGCATTGCGACAGGCACTTTCAAGCCATTTGCGATTGAGATTACCTGTGTCCCAATCCATTCGTATAAAAGTACTTCAGAAATGGTCCCAGCCATTCGCCGTCATCAAGATCATTCCCACCGCGACTCGCTAGGTTAAGGAAAGATATTTCGGCCAAAATCCTATACCTTTCGGCCTCGAGTGGCGTTCTTGTCACATTTACTTAAATAATGGCAATTAAGTACGAAATTACTAGCGAACTATTGAACGCGGATAAAATGGGTTTTTAGCATTTCAGTCGAAAGCAGCTGCAAGTATATAAACATTAACATCACTTGCCTAGATAATGAAGTCTAAAACTCAACTAAGCATTTGGCCACCTGCTTCAAAGAGTGTAACTACTGTTGCCAAACAACTGACCATTCATGTACTTGTTTGGCGCACAAATTCAAAAGTTGGGTGGGATGACAGGTTGGCTGGTAAGATAGTTCAAATCGAGATCTCTCCTAATTTTAAGCTTATTTTCGTCGGTGAAACTAGCTGATAACGAATTTCATTTGATAAAAGCTGTGCATTTTGCTTTTTTTAAGCAGTGGTGCCTGTAACTGTGGCCAATAAATGGAATTAAGCACAAATATAAGCTGAGCATATCGACATAGAATTCATCTGCAAGGAACTGTATCAACAGTGTTTTCACAACGCATTATATTGAGCACCTCTTCGCATTACTTAATATGTGACTTATTTTGGTGCGCATGTGTAGATTTTCGATTTTAAACCATCATCTACATTTAAACCATATGCATTCTCATATAATAGGTATGAGTAAAATTGGCAAAACTGAATACACAAAGTCAAGTTTACAATAGGTGTTTGAATTTTTACCAAACTGTCCCAGCTGTATAGTGTCCTTGGAGAATTCTCATTCTGTAGAAACAATGAAGTGTCATAGAAACTGTTGCGAATGTACCAGAATAATTCACTTGTTTTTCCTTTTCACAAATCACTTGATTGTTCAATTCCCCTGAGACAATGCTTCGGATAAACATGGCCTTTCTTACGCCATGCTCAAATCAAATACATAAAGTTTGGAATTGTTTCTGACTAAACATACTGCTTAGCTAACGTGTAGATTCAAGAAACTTTTGAGTATTTCTATAAACCATGACTGCAGTTTAATGTGAAGTATACTTAATAAAGTTCTTGCGGTTAATCATGGATTTTGAGTAGACCCATATCAGCTCAAACGTATTATTTTTAATCAAAAATTATTTGCAGTGACGCCTTTACTAACTGGAAGCAATTCTAATTGTCCTGCATGAAAAAAATGCCAGCGTTCCGGAGGTGAGGATGTTGTCAAATGCGGTTTCAGCGAATACTCCGGTTTTGAAATGTTTCACTTGAGGGGATTTATCCGAGTACCTGATATAGGGAAATAGGGCACGCGAGTCAAAGTTTCCTAGATTAGTTCATGCAGCTTCCGCAGCATCAGTTCTGTGGCCAGAGCAGGTAGTATTCTCGCGAATGAAGTTAATTTAAAGGATCAAACGGCCACCGTTTTTCCAGTAGGTTAGCTAACTGGATGAATGCATTTGCCTTGAATTCGACTTGTGCTATCAAAACCCTTAGTTACATCCATCCAATTTTGTTCCTAACAATATGTCGGCCGGTGGCCGAGTGGTCTGCACGTTTGCTTTGCAAACATAAGGTCACCGGTTCGAATCCGCGTAGGGGTGGGCGTCCTTGCGGTATACTCAGCCCGCGCGCGACTGGTGGTGGTTGCGCGGCAGCGAAGCGCCGTTACGGCGTACAGCTGACACATTATTATTATTCCTAACAATATAAAATAATCCACCTAATTCATAAATTTGATTGTAACGTGGTTCTGAGAAAAATCCCAAAATTTGGAATACTGGCAGAATTGAACAGACTACGCTGGCAGATGGAAAACAACATCGTCCTCTGTAAGCATAAGCCGTCGTAAGTCGACATGTACGTCAGCAGATGCTTAATATGAACTTGTGGTTGTTCTGCAGGGCTTTGGAAAAAGCAGTCGTCGTACCATATTTAGACATCTAGCTTAGTAACACGCTGTGAATCAAATACAGAGAAATTTTGCCTTGAACTAGTGCACTGCCATTTTGCAATAGTAATTTATCTCAGTCATATAGAACACACTGTCAAAACATTGTTGGTCCCTTGGGTTTCCCAACAAACCTTGTGTGCATTCCATAATACAGCATAAAGTTTGGAAAATAAGTCACTTAACCAGTTTCAATTCCACGCCTTACTGCAGATGTGTTCTCCGCGTCAAAGTCGAAAGCTACAGATCATCCGATCTAAGTGCCTTTCTGCCGGTTGAATTAACTATGGTGACGAAGACTTCGCGCCCAGTTCGTTGGCCGGTTCGCCTTTCCGAGGTACTGTACACTTGCACGTTATTCGTGTCGGTGGCGACACCACTGTCGGAAACCAGTTTGCTCAATTTCACTGCAAAGTCCACTGACCTAAGCAGCAACAACAGCTCAACGATAAGAAGGAAAACATTAAATTCTAACAGTTCATCTCATTTGTTACGACCACGTCGTGAAGTAATGGATCGCGACGCTCTGTTAGATCAGGATCCAAGATGTAACGAGTTCGTCCGGTCGCTATTGATCCAATCCACCTCCGGCGTGAAGGACCCGTCATCTCAACTTCTAACCAGCTTTTTTTCTGTTTCTATGAGCCACAAACGAAGTCCTGAGTACCGATTTCAAACTCCAAACTACCCGGATTATTTTCCGCATGACATGGATTGTATTAAAATAATCTCTGGTGAGTTGCCGCGGTTAACGATAGGTTCTATCAGACCGCCATATTTGATGATGTATGTATTTGTAACTGTGTCACCAATAGTAAGAACCTATTGAGGTATCTTATAGAATCAATCCAGGTAACGCTTATACAATCTTATCGTATGTTTTAGAAAGTGAATATGAAACGTTCTATTGCAGATGATGGACTAACTTGAAGTTACTATACATGGTTCTCAAGAATACAAGGTCGCTATTTTCTTGAGGATAATGATGGAAATAATCGGAGGCTAGGCCAGCCTATTTGTGGCGACATCGCATCTAGAGGCATTTTTGGTAGCACCGTTGTGTGGATAATCCAGTTTTATTATGAAAGAAAATAATACCATACAATGAAATGGGTTATTTAAGTGCTGAAAGTCTTCTGCAAATATAATAAACCGCTGTATATGAAACTGTGATTTTCTCTATGAGAGCGGTTTTTTGAGACGTCGCCAGTATGGTAAGTGTTGTGTGTGTGGACTTGTTCCAACTGAGGGCAAGAAGCGCATGGCTTCAAATAGACAAACCGCATTTTCTGCATTTGTCTGATAAGAGTACAATGAGACAAAAACGCAAAAATTGACAAACAGAATGATAGAAGTACCAGATCCGTTTACAAACACTTAATATCCTGCTCGCTGGTTGCAGTGAAAATGCTTGAGCAAGTTCTGATTCCATAGCCAAACCGACCTTAAAAATAGACACTACAGTATAAGAACACCGGAAGATACCACGCAGTTCGCCTCGACTAAGAATTGATTTGCTAAGCTTTCAGTTTAGAGGTTTAAATAGCAACATGCTGGCGAAGTCCAAGATGGCATGAACTGGCTGAGTTCTTACTAAATGTCGGAGTACTCACTAATCAAAACCCTCTTTGATTGTGCCACATAAGAAGGATGAGCATAGGTTTATCTCCCAGCATATTAGATTAATGAACCGCCCAGCAAAAGACAGCCAAAAGCTTATGGCGTTCTCACAAACTACTGAAAAGCCAGGCAACAGGATGTACAATGTTATCCGTAAATATGCTTTTCAAATGTGTCAACAACAAGGTAGTTGCATTAAGGCAATAGTTGTAGGCATCAGTAACATCCAACTTTGGACATCAGTTTGACCAATGTGAAGAGTACAAAAAGGTTTCCGTAGAGTTTTGACCTATAACATGTTTAAGGGGGTTATGGAAATAAGCTAGGAAACCTATATGATTATTGAATATTACACCATTTTATGTTAATCTTCCTGTCTATGTTTCCTGTTCCTTCGTTGTTGCGTGGAGTTCATAAGAAAATGGAAACTTCCTTCGAATGGTACGTATACGTGACCGCCTTTCCACTTTAGTCAAAATAAATCGCGAATACCTGGGTTAGTTCTTTGAATGAGACAGTGGCCGCCACTCACAATACTACTAGCCAACTGCTCAGATAAGATATGAGCAGCTTCGCCTTTCAATCTCCTGCCACTGAACGGATAGGTTCTGAATGGCATTCCTTCTAGTCTAAACTTATAGTATATACTCCATTACTTCACAATGATCCGTAGTTTTACGGGTACACAATACTTTGAGTAATGCGTAACACGTACGTTTAAGATGAAAAACGTGAAGTTCACAGTCCATTTAAAGCGTAACAAACTTAGTACTACGGCCTGTAGCACTGAAAGAGGGTGATCTGTGCTAAATTCACTGGCTTATAAACCCGTATAATGGGCAACCTTATAATTAAGCGGTGTCTGTCACAACGTGTGCAATAAGTTAATGGTTGTTGAATGCAATGTGACGCACAAAGACCGTCAAAATAATCAAATCAGTCCATTCGCTAGAAATTACAACCCGCTAAACGCCAACGCAGTTGATCATCACTTAACGGTGTGTATTTTTTGACGGCCCCTATTTGACAAGTTCAAGCGAAAGCGTAAAACTTCGCTTGATTTAGATGCGATGGGAAGGAACAGTGGATGAGGCACACGATGGCAAACATCCGTTAAGCGTAAACTCACTCAGACTTTTGTGCCATGGCAATATCGTTTATCTGTGTGCCACGTAAATTACTGAAGCAATTTCACTAGGCGTTGGAACCGGTTAGTGAACATTTGTTAGTAGCAAATAAGTATGAAACAATGGCTTCATCACAGATATAAAAGTAGATGCTTGACAATTTTCCAGGGGTAATGCATCAAGAGAAATTAAGGAGTAGTGGTGGACTCACCACCTAGTTTGGTTATTTTGTGCACTGGCCTAGTAACTTGGAATAATTCATACGATTCAGATGGCGTAATGCACCATCAGATCGAAGCACGAAATCAGCTTACGTTGGACTATAGATACCAGAAAGCGATAGAACGTTCTACGGTTGATATATACGAACAGAGGAAAAGATCCGATGGCATTCCAATTGGCCTTAATGTGTTGGCAAGTTAAAATGGTGGATTACCAGTGCAGTATGGTCACTGGGTTTCAATAAGGGTCATTATCATTATTACGCAAGTTAGCTGCAGATGAAAAACACCTCGGCTGTTGTGCCGCAATACAAAAGACAAGAAGAAAAAACCATAATGGTAAGCTGGCTGAGTCCCCAGTAACGCAAGGACATAGTTCCGGAAAGCTAACAGCCGGCTATCGTGACGCAAAAAGAGTTATATTATGCCTAACGAATGATAACATGGTTGGAGGGGAGGCTAAGCAGGAGGGGGATGGATGAGGGAACTCACAATACAAACGCCATTGGAGCCAGCTCCAAGCCATATCAGCAAATGCCTAACCAAATATGTTCATCGTTCTTAGGACCTCACGCAAGCAGTTGGGATGCAACAACCGACGCCAACTTCGAAGTAAAGGCTTTCATTTCTCTCGACCGATTCATCGCTTGGTCTCCTTTCCTTCTCTTTCAACTGCACCCCCGGCGCGCAAACAATGCACGTCGAGGGAGTCGGTGTGCTGACATGCGCAACCCGTAGCCTAGCCATCGGAGCCTGTTGCTTGATATAATGGTTCTGAGAGGTCCACTCACTCTTCCTGCAGCAAATACGAGACGCCGAACGCGCTCATTGTTTACGCGGTACTCCCACTAGACATGACCTAAGCTGCAAATGCAACGATGATTGAACATGACTAGCCTTTTTATGTCTGTCGACCTGACGGGCCAGGTTTCACAATCAGGTAGTAGAACGGACGGCTGCGTTAGACCTCCGCCCTTCAGGGCTGGAGTAATGTCTCGTCTGCGTCACAGGAGAAGGAGATTGGGAAAAACACCTCGGGCTTTTGCTATACGGTTTGTAAACACATCTTCGATCCCATGGGCACTAATATAGTTGCCCAGGCACTGGAATTCAATAAGGCTTGATATAGGTGCTTAGGTTTCTTGAGGGTCAGCGACACCAGTATGAGCTCACCTCGCGTACGACGATAGTGTCCACTGAAAACTCTTGGAATCCATAGGTTAAACGGACAAATTTGGAACAAGCACTTAACATTTCTAGTCACCCTCCTTCATGGGCTATCAAGCAGAGTGGTATAATGTTTCGGCCAAGTTTGCCACACCTGCGTGGTATAGTCTACATGCGGTCTCACGCTAAGCGTTAAGCATTTTTGAAAAGAAGCTAGGATTAAACTGGTTAATCACCCTCCACAATAGGCGGTTGTTAAGTTTGTTCGCAGTATTGGCAGCCTGTCGTGCTCATCCAAGAGATGCCTGAACGAGCAGCTGATAACACTTTTGTGAGAAAGGTGCTGCAGAACGTGTCCTCCCAGTCGAAAATTATAGGTGTATTAGTGGCACTTGACCATTAGTTTACGTTAGACAGCATTAAACGTAGGCGTACCTTTAGCTCTACATCCGAAGTCCTGTTAAGACAACCATGCCATGTTGTGTAGTCGTCTCTTCTCTTGCTTGCCAGCCAACTAGAAACGTCGTCCGCAAAGATTGAAAACTTTGCAGTCAGCATTTCCACGTATTCGTTTGGGAACACTAAAAGTGGTCTTGGCTCTAGTAACGAACCTTGGGAGACGATACATTGTTGCGTGTTAGCAACGATGCTTTCCACGACAGGTTCTATATATTTTTAGCTCCATTGGAACAGAATGACTTCCAGTGTGCAAAAGCTTCGTTAGTCATAGGTACCAACTTTGCTCAGGGGTTCATACATGCAAAAGTGGGATAATGGGCACCCGCTGAAGATCATATTATGCACTTATTCTTGGATGCATAGGGGCCAGTTTGACAACTATCCGATAAATTTCATTTTTAACAACGCACCTCTTAGATGATTGGAATCTAAAATAGGTGCCTTTCTGCCATGTTTAGTGTTTTACCGCGTTGTGGTAATGTCGCCATGCTACGTTTTATTCCCCAGAACTTTAAGTCATTCACATTAAACGCAAGTAAACAAGTACAGTTCCGTTCAAGTCTCTTGTCCTACTTATGTTCGTAACAAACTACATAACTAATTTGTTGCTGTTGTTTATATTCCTGGCTTTCCTATAGCTCCTCAGTGATTCCCTATGGATTACTTTAACGAATATTGCACATAAAACGAACGATTGTCCTTGATTAAATTTCCCTAGTTGATATTGGCCGGTAATTACTCTAACTGCAAAGAGGTAAAATGCGCAGCACTAAAATCTGCGTCGTTCTGTGGGGCACAAACGACACTTAGTGAGTTGATAAGTAGAATTCAATGATTCCACAGGACGAAAGTTGAACTTCACTAAGTGAGTAACCGCGTTAGACCGGTTACTGGGGAGGGACGGAGAGTATGAGGTAGATGCATAAAATTCTGCAATATCCTCCCCTTCAGAGGTGCGGACTCTACCAATTAATTTTAATAAATTCTTTCGTAAGTGCTTTTCTTTGCATATAGCAACAAAATTTTTGGGCACCTTGTTTCAAAATTTCACCCATATGAGTAGGATCTTGTTTTCGCAGGATAAAGCCATGACGTAACCAGCCTCCAACCCGAAATACAAAAGCCCCTCACTGCATCTATCACGATAAGATGCGAAGGAGTATGAAGACATACCATAAGATTGTAGTAGGTTGAGGAGAGATTCAATAATTTATATGGTCTGCTCTATCGTGCATACATTGGGGATTAAAACGAATATTAGAAAGTACTTACAATCAATTATTTTGGTTCATATGATCATTTACTTGAAGTCACATGCACGCATGCACGCAAGCTACCAACAGCACCGGGCACGGATTAAGCCGAATACTCCAGTGAAACACGAGTATATCAAAGTCTTAAAACATCTAGCTCATAATAAAGATGTTTTGCTTACTCGGCCGGATAAATGCGCGGGTAAATTATTATGAACAACGCGGATTACATCCAGAAAATAAACGAACTATTAACAGACGATACCAACTTTTGCAACTGGTTAATGAAAAGGAGAAAACAAAGCAGATCAAAAGTCAAATCTGTAACTGTCTCAAAACATTTATGGGCAGTGGCTATATCAGCCAGAACGCACGTAAAACGTTACGCCCAACAGGCACCAAGATTTCTAGACTGTATGTTTTACCTAAGACGCATTAACCTGAAGTCTTCCTATGACCAGTCAGAGTAGAATAACTCACCGTAGCACTCTACAGCGCGGTAGTTGGTAGAACTGCTGGTGCCTATACGAAAACGAGTTGCTATACACAGCTTTAAGGGCAGTTTTGATTTCGAAGATACCATGTGCGGTCCAAATGTCACTGATTTGAGCATATGCCCTTTCGACGTGACTTCGCTTTTTACAAATGCGTCGTTATTTGAAACCATAAATGACATCTGTGTTTATGTCAGAGAAAGCCGGGTAACTATTGACGTACATATGGTGGTCTACACGGAACTGCTGGTTCGGTGGACTTTCAACATCCAGTTTCCCTTTAACGGTGGATTGTGTCGACAGCACGATGGAGTAGCAATTGGGTCTTCACTTGGATCGCTTTTCCCTAACGCATTAATGGGTATGCTTGAAGGTGGCAACTTAAAATCGGTCAGCACGAACCTCAGTCTTTAATGCCGTTACATGGATGATATATTTTTACTGCTCCATTCCTCTTGAACCACTGAGGACATTATCGTTGAATTCAGTCTGGCGTACGAAACGCTGAAATTCACCTCCAAAGTAGAGGTAAATGTTGCTTTGCACTTTCTCGACAAGGAAATGAAACTATTAGAGATGGCGTGTTGCAACATCACGTGTATAGGAAACACAGGTAGAATGGACAATAACTGAATTTCTATCATTTCGTCCCACGGCAATTAAAACGAACCCTGATTCTTAGTCTAATGAGCTGGACAGAAGACTTTTGCTCGCATGAAGTACTGAAACGCGTACGTTCGACGCGGAGAGAAATTGGTTACCCAGACAGTTTTCTGAAAGCCAACAAAAGGCGAAGGTAGAAGACCCCGTAACCCATAAATTCCAGCAAAAACCACTGTTTGTCCAACTACCATGCAAAGGAGAACTCGCTGTTGAAATCAAAACTCGTCGCCCTCACGTCTTCTCAGACACAATTTCCTAGCGGCTAAAATACAAATCCAGTTCGCCGGTATCCCAAGGGTTCGAATTAGCCTCAAAGACAAGTGGCTGGTTTACGCCAAATCAAGGTGTATTTATTTGTTCTCCTGTTCGTGTGGGCGAGGACATATTGGTCGAACGATGAGGCACCTGTATGCGAAGATGAAGCAAAACCATCCGGCATGACCCATGACTGCTGGGCCAAAACTCAGCAACTTATCCACAGCCACGCAGCTCGTCGACGACGGCTACGCCACCAATTTGGCTGTCATTCAAAGTGATCTAGCAGGCGGCGGACAATGGTTGAAGGTGCATCCGTAGGCGTTCGCTTGAATGCTCAGAGGCCATCGCGATTCAACTGTACCTGCCGGAGTTGTGTGCTAAGAAAAGGCTGGTTCAGACACTGAAAATTATTCGGAATAATCAGATAACGATAGGTTGAGCTGAGAAGCGCTTCCTGCACAATGGTTGACGCTTTTTGTCCTGGAAACTAGATAATTGTGCTTCGCCAGGAGGGTTATCGCGGCTGTTAGAAGTTCGTTGTTGGATATTGGTGTACAAGTCGTGCGTCTTCCATTGCGACAGGCAATCTTTGCTGAATTAACGGTTGGCTTCGAAGTAAACTACTACCAATCATATTATTTAACCCATATCAGAAGTACTGAATGAATTAGCAAGCTCATTCGCGGCAACTCAGTGTAAGTAATTGCGATCCTTAACCTTCTCTACAGAAGCAGTTCCTCGACTAACAAGTGCACTGTCTTAAACGTCTAACTGTAAGACCGAGGTAGCACACCGTGTGCGCGTGTGCATTTCACTAGTTTGGGATGCAGGAATATACGTTAGTTGCAGCATAAGTTAGAGGCCTGCTTGTAAGGTAGTTTTCCTCGTTTGATTTCTATTGATATCAAAACAACCAAAGGCCTCAGAAACTTGCAGTCAGGTATTTTAGGACGCCATGTCAATGCAAAAACATAAATAAATAGAGTCTAAAGCCATGTTCTTGGTTACTTTGAGTCATTTATTATACATACAAGACGTCTCAAGATACAGCGTATTTAAATTTAAGTTAGTGGTAAATTTAACCCACTAAACACCTACATGTTACTGCTAATTGAAATACATGGGTCAAAGCCACATTTGAAGCAAGTATAAGGAGCAAGGCGACAGCTTGCGTTTGTCTGTCCACCGAATCAGGTATTATGCCTGCTTGGTGGAGCGAAAGATATAATTACATTTTCCCAATGTGCAGATTCTGGTCTAGGCTTACGACAAACTTCAAACATTGTACGATGTTACTTCCTGACGTGCAAAAGAGTTAGCAGGTAACAGCCAAGAAGAGGTCTTGTTACCCTTTGTCACATTAATATGTTTTGTTGTTTCTCTTGCAGTTGACGATGTTTTTCCTATTCACGCTAAAGCATATGCTAAAAGTAGCTGGGCTCAGGCGCTTGAGAACCGGCCGATAAGGCACCACTGCACAAGCAACGATTATCAGAGTGGAAACTTCAAATGTGACCTAATTGCTACAATATGTGAAACTTCCATATACAACTCTGCTTGGTATAGTGATAGAGGATATAACCGGCAATAATAACTATTGATTCGTTTGATTCCTAGCCAAAATTGTCACCGGTTGCAGTTTGAACAGTACCCTGACCAATATCTTTGAGTACACTTGAGTTCAAACGCTTACGGTTCGAAGTGAAGGATAAGCTCAGACTAATCTATTTCTTACAGTAAACTGTGAGCGTCAATGCAGGAAAGCCGTCTTATTAGTAGAGAAGACTTATGTAGTTGATTAAAATTTGCTCCTTATGTGTGGCTTATCAAGTAAAATGGTTGCCATGACATTACTACTGCTATGAGCAATAGTATTCGTCCAGGCAGTACTGTGCTGTGCGATAACCAATCCCAAGGTTATACCGGATGGCAGCGTTTTCTATCAACAGTTTGGAAGCGCTGCAGCTGGTAAACCTTATTCATTGACGCACAACAATAGAGTAATAATAACAATGCGCTTGCATATATAGGCGTTTGACTGAACCAGGTGGACGAGGAAAGTGCGTGCACATCACAGAATATGCAACTAATTTTTCCATAAAGGAAATGGATTGATTCCGCTGAAACCAAATGGCTAATATAATCATCTTACGCCTGCTCATCGATTTACTTTTCGCCCATTTTAGCTCCGACGAAAGATCATCGTATTCTCTTAAACTTCCGTGGTCTATTCGAACTTGAACCGGAACCCCACTGTTTGATGGATTTTTTTGAAATTCGCGACGGTGCCTTTGGTTTCTCCCCAATTCTCGGACGGTATTGTAGTCGGCGCCTGCCTGATGTGGGAAAAGGTATCCTCTCAACGGGTCAGTTTCTATGGCTCAGGTTTCACAGCGATTCCACCATCCGTCACAGGGGATTTCAAGCGGTTTACCGGTTTCTCGAAATGCGTAAGTTCAAACAAAATGGATCTTGGGTACAGCGTTTTTGTATTACTGATGGAATAATTGAAAAAAGAAGCTTTTTATCAGGTCTCAGAAAAATTGGCCTGATGGTCTACCGATTGTTAAATAAAGATCTGTAATCATTCATGTTGAAGGAAACGTTTACTACTAGCAGAAGATGCCTTCGATTACGCAGCAACTTAAATTTGAATACCTTGCACAATCGTGTTTATTTTTCCGTTATTTTTTAAACCCCACCAAGATACCTTTCTCTGTGTTCTGCATCAGGAGGGAATTATGAGTTTATCATTGAGAAGTAAAGCTGGTTGATAATTACCAACAAGTTACTACTTAAAAACCTAATAGCATGCGATGGTTTTTCCACTGCAAATATGAAGTTAGCACAGTGAAAGTAAGGAGTAACGTGTAGGACCAAATTCTAGTGGAATCCATCAGATCTCTACGCAACAAATAAACTACCGCACCACCGAAAAGTGACAAGCTTCTCTTCAGAACTTATCAGCGCAATTATCTTTATGGAACCATGTGAGACTTCAAGTCACGATCCTTTAAATTTAGAGTAGACATTTATGTCGCTTGAATGTCGCCGATGGGCGAACATGACCAAATAGTTGAATCTGTCGATGCACACTCAGTTATCAGCTGATATTTTTGTTGAGCTCTCTCCAGGATAGAACTGGCTCTCAGAGACGTGCGATCTGTCGTTGTACGTCTGAGTACCTCAGCACACCATTGCCTAGTAGTTGCCGTTGCTGATTTTCTTTTACGCAACATTAGGTGAAGTTATTTTAAGTTACGTCGATTGCAAATACACCAAATTAACCATGACCATACTGTTTTATTTAGTACGCCTAGAGGAACAGATTGTATAACTATGATTCAAACGATTTGGCAAATGCGATTAGCCGAAGACTTCCATCTGACACTTCATTGGATACATAAATGCTAGACGTGTGAGGACCCAACCTTCCAAAGTCTTTATACTGCATTGTTTCCAGTTACTCGACAAATACATATCCTCGTCTCTAAAATTTAATAAGTTAACGCTGGTTTATGACGGTTGAAGATGCATAGGCATATCCCGTCCGGGAGTGAAGATTCAAGGTCAACACAAGCGCACAACAAGATGTGTGTCAAAGAAGAAACAAAGCAATGATATATTAGAATCATAGTTGTGAGGATTAGATAGCACCTTGCAAAAGCAGATTAAGAAGTCAGTATGTTTACTGCTCATTGTAAAGCGCCATCAGGTTGCTTACTAGACTTCACCTAACTACTTGCGTTAAGGTGGATTATAATTGCAAAAACCTACTTAGCCTGGATACATTCCAGAATACCTGTTTATATGACAAAGCGTATGGAGGCGAAAGCGACACCTAAGCTCTTTTTATTGCCGAGGGCATAAAAAACTGCATTTTGGAGGACTTTTCAGGGTTGCCATACCCGGAGGGAGATGTACGTACTTCAAAAATCTTTACCAATGTATTGTTGGCTTAATCTTAATCTGTTGCTTCTCAGATCGATGTTTGGGTTGCGTTCCAATAGTTGGCTGTATACGTGACTGGGTGTGTTCAGTATTTAGCGAAGTTCGGCTCAGTTGAACAACTATGAACCGAGCACCGAAGGGCGGTGGAGCCAATTGTCACAACTCACATCGCAAAACTAACAACAACTAAAAAACACAAGATAGTGTGGCTAATGGCAAATAGTAAGTAAAAATGGGTGTTTTTTCAGCTAATCAGAACAGATTGAAACATAACAACTAGATGCAAGAAATAGAATGCTGGTATGCCACAGACTGCGTAACTGCGCCATGTCTGATACGGTCTCCAACCAGTGACGTGGACCAACCCGCGGCCCCCATCAACGCAGACGAACGCACCAGCCCAACCCAGTCATTCGGTCAATTTCTTCTCGCTTCTACGTCATATCAAAGACTGGCCGCTTCGCGGTTTCACACAACTTGGTGCAGCCACGACGTACAATGCACGTAGAGTAAGCCAGGAAACGGGCATACGGAGGACTTGGCCTAGCCAACTCAAGTAATTAACATTCAGCAAACACGAATAAGGCACCAGAAAGCTTCTTGACCAAAAGTCGAGTGGCATGCCTCAGTATTGCTCACCTTGTGTTTTCACCAGACTCGCGCAATACTCTTCAAGCACCGGCGCTCAAACACGGCTAAACATTTAATGTATTGACTACGTACTAAGTAAGTTTTGGATCCACACAGCAAAACCGGTCTTACCGCAGTGTTATACACCCTAATTTTCACTGACGGAATGAAATCATGTCGTCCCCATAGATGGTTGAGTCTATGGAAAACCACACAGCACTTGCTGATACGCGAAGTAACTGCCTCATGGATGTGACTACCAGAGGTGACACAGCTGCAGGGTAAGTGAACCAATCCAGTGGTTCCATTGGCTCTTCGGTGATAACTAGATACTTAGGTATATCGGTCAAATCCTGAAGCAGTACTTTTTACTATTAAGGTGCAGAGCGAATGATGAAGTGTGCGGCGCTACGCGCCAGTCTATTCAGCAGTGCTTGCATAGGCACTGCTTCAGACCCAAGAAAAGTCATATCTTCCTCAAACTCCAGGCTTGCCAGCCGCTCATCTGGAAGCAACTCCACTCCGCGTGAGTCACTAATGATTATTACGATAACAAAGTTGAGGAAGAAAGGTGATATGACCCAACCCAGGTGCATTCCATTTGTCGGGGATGTTAGGGGACGGTTTCCGTAAACTTTTACACGGCCACAAGAATCACGATAGAGAGACTTAAGAATGGAAATAAATGTAGCCCACACATGCTTCATGGATAATGGTGCCACAATCACAAGCGGCCAAAAGAGTCGAAGGCAGGTTTCAAATCAACTAAAATGACGACAGTTGGTCCACTGTATGTGTCGCAAATCCAACCCTTGGCAAACAGTGCATATGTGGTCGATACAACTTCGAGCATGGCGGAATCCAAGCTGGCTTTCAGTGAATCAGTTCTCACGGACACCAATAAGTCGACAAATAATGATATCCGTGAGGAGTTTGGTTGCGATAAAATCCAAGCTGGCACTTCCATGATTTCGCAAATAGTACCTTGACTCTTCTTGCAGATGCGTACTACTGTCGACAGTCACCAGGATTAAGGAAGTTACTCACTGTTCCAAATCATATTAAATAGAGAAGCTAGTCCAGCCAACAATGGGTCACCACCATCTTTCAGCAAACATAGAAGATGGTCCACTGGTTCAGAAGCCTTGTTCCTTTTCAACAAGGAAAGCTCGGGTCGAATCTCTTCCAAAGTATGGGGTGTGGCATCTACTTCCTACGACGGCTCAGGCGATTCAGCAAGCGGCAATGTCGCAGCAGACATGCTGAATTGCGTTATAGAATATTCCATCCAACTGGCTAGTCCCGACGTTAAGAATGGAGCAGCTACCCGTCGTTCACAGTAATTGTCTCGCTAACAGACAGATTACTTTGACCCTTGTTCCGGATGAGCAGTAGTAGCACGGGGATTGTCCCAATAGCACAAGCTTTCTTCATTTCACGGTACCTTGCTATCCACAAAAATTTACGATCCATTCGAAGACACTTTGCGATGCGTCGTTGCAGAGAGTTACGGCACCCTGAAACTCATTGTCCACTGGAACTTACTTTCGTGCTCCGATCTAGCTGATCAGTGCCTCAGAGATCCTTTCGCAGTTACGACGTCTCTATTTGGTTGCACAGCATGCGTCAAAGATATCCTTTATATCACCTTTAAGACGATCCCGTTTGGCTTTCGGTTCACCAATCTCATTTATCACTTAAAACTGAGGGACCAGTTCGTCGTGATATTGTTGAACTGCAGATTGTGAGTTCAGTTAACAGGTAAGAAGCTCAGAAGATAGCCGCTTATTGAGAAGGGAAGAGTGAGTGCCAACCGTGCGCGCAATAGCACGTTCTCCAACTTGACCTACAAATGTGGACTTACGTGCACCATCTGTCAATGATGGCGGTATGGTCAATTTGGGTCCAGGTCATGGAGAAATTCGGTAGACGCCAGGTGACACGGCTTGAAGGTTTGTGCTTGGAAGCAGCGCTGCTAAGATAAAGAATGCGTACGATTGCCTGTTTGGCGTGCATTAGCAACAAAGCGGCCATCCAGGTATTGTTCAGAGGCTAAAAGATGACAGTTGAACATTTATGTCATCAGCAACCTTAACGATTTCGGTATAATTTGCCATGTGAGGACGTTATGACGGTTGTCGAGAGAAAAGGTCTTTTATACCCTCTGAGCTGCATTCAATAGGGGCATACACTGAGATGATGAAAGGGCAACTTGGCTGCAGACGCTGCTTATCATGTCCAATGGTAGTTCAAAGTCGAACTGCGCACATGCGACTATTCACTGGTATCCAGTCGAAAGGATTACGTTTGGCATATTTACTGAGAGCAAAACCAAAACCGTACATACCTTGAACCATTACCTAAGTATCGCCAGAGAAGCGAAAAGTGTAGTCATGATTGTCAGACTCAGAATTAGGAGTTGAAGATTCGTAACAACACTGTTATCTTGTATTCGTGTTTCGGAGACACCGCACGCATCAGTACCAAGAGAGTGAAGTGTGAGAGTTAATGTTGTCTGCTAGCCGCTCTGACCTGGAGTGCGGAAGTTACTGGAATAACTGTGAAAGAAAGCTTTACGCATGATGGAAAAGTCACCTGTATCAATGGCAGCAGTTGAAAGGTCAGTAGCAGTCTCATGCCTATAAACGGAGAAGAGAAAACCTAGAAGAAAAAGAAGGGGAGTATTGTCGTGGTGGTCAAGAGGTCGAATGATACTTCTTGTCTACACATTCTGAAAAAGGAGTCTTTTCAAGGTGCCTGCCTCTAGCCTTTGACTAAACGGTTTGACCCACAAGACAGTGGAGCATTTGGATGTCAACTTTGGGTCTACACCCGGAGACGTTGGTTGAACAGCCTGAACCAAAAGACG